GGGGGGGGTGCCGGCACCGGGGGGGGGGGGCCGGCACCGGGGGGGGGGGGGCCGGCAACCCCGGGGAAGGGGTGTCCGGCTCCGGGGGGGGGTGCCGGCACCGGAGGGGGGGGGGGGGGGGAGGGGGGGGGGGTGCCGGCACAAGGGGGGGGGTGCCGGCAACCGGGGAGTGGGGTGCCGGCACCACGGCACCAGGGGGGGGGGTGCCGGCACCGGGCGAGGGGTGACCAGGCACCGGGGGGGGGGGATTTCGGGCGGGGGGTGCCGGCACCGTGGGGGGGGGTGCCGGCAACCGGGGGGGAGGTGCCGGCACCCCGAGGGGGGGGTGCCGCACCGGGGGGGGGTGCCGGCACCGGGGGGGGGGGGGCCGGCACCGGGAGGGGGGTGGCCGCACCGGGGGGGGGGGGGGCCGGCACCGGGGGGGGGGGGGGCCGGCAAACGGGGGGGGGGGGTGCCGGCACCGGGGGGGGTGGTGCCGGCACCGGGGGGGGGGGGTGCGGGCACCGGGGGGGCCGGTGGGGAGTCCCGGGGCCCGGTTCGGTTCCACCCGGTTCGGGCTTGCCGTTCGGGCCGGTTTCGACCGGCCGGTTCGGTTCGAACCGCCCGGTCCGGTTTCAGCCGGTCCGGTTCGGGCTCTGGTTCGGGCGGTTCGGTTGCAGGAGCCGCCGGTTCACGGTTACCAGTTCGGTTCGGACTCTTCTTGCCTGGGCCAGGAACGGGGGGGGGGGCGAGGCGTTAGAGCGTCCAAGATGGCCCAAGATTGCTCCAAGAAGGCTTCGAAGTCGCAAGATGGCCTCCAAGAGGGCCCATGCTACTTCAAGATGGGTCAAGATAGCCCCCGACATACCCTCGAGAGGCCCGCCCCTAGACAGCCCCAAGACGGATCCAAATGCCCTTCGAGTCCTTTGCGGCGCCCTCCAAGGTGCCAAAATCGTTCAGAATCCGAGGGGAAATCAATGTGTTTGGCATTATCACCTTTTCGCTTCCGAGTGGCTTTGGAAGCCTCAAGATGGCCCCAAGATGACCCAAAAAAGGCCCAAGAGGGGCCCAAAAAAGCCGAAAACGGCCCCAAGATCGCCCAAGAGGCGCCCAAGAGCGCTCCAAGAGGGCTCCAAGATGCCGCAATGAGCCTCCGAGGGGGGTGGGGTTGGGGGGGGAGGGGGGTGTGGGGGCGAATCCCCCCTCCCCTTTCTTTTTGAGCCACGGTGCCCAAGACGTCCCCAAGAGGCCCCCCAGACCCCCAAAGAGCCCCAGCACGGCTCCAAGGCTCTCCCAAAAGATCCTCAAGAGGGCCCCATGAAGGCCTCAAGACGGCCTCAAGTGGCCCAAGATAGCCGAGCATGTCTCAAGATAACTTCCGACAGCCTCTAGCCGAGCATTGCTCAAGATAGCCTCCAAAAAGGTTTCGAGAAAGCTGGCGTTCAATTCTGGATGGGCTGGTTGGGATACGCGAAGCGTCACGAATTTTCAATTATACGCATTCAGGAGACGGGGGCCGCTGTTTCAGACACATTCGAGGAGGAAGGGTACCTTATCATCCGATCTGGCACGAACGAGAAAATCTCTGGGCGATTCTACTCTGGAGCGGGGTTCATCATCGCCCTGCTGGCGAAACGAGGCGTGATCAGCTTTACGCTCATCTCGGACAAGATCCCTTAATTCCGCCTTCGTGTGTCTGGCGGTATTCTTAACCTTTTTTACTGCTTATGCTCCATAGTCTGAGGCGACCCGGACGACGGGCTCACGTTCTTTAGTGAGTTGATCGACGCGTGGCCCAATCAAGGCAACCATGCATGCACCATGGCACTTGGCGCCTTCAATGTGAAGCTCTTCCAACAGCAGCCAAGGAAAAACGACATTGCGGGGCGATACATGTTGGAAAACAAATGGCCGCAACGCAGAGACAATTTGAACAGAGTTTTTGTTGGTGCAGGCGCGCCGGGCCACACATTCTGTTGTTGCGAATGCATTTTGCGAACATGGGGCAAACCAATTGGTCACGCTCTATTCCCCTGACGGCAACGCAACAGAAGATGCCCATGCAGAAGGTTTCGATCAAATTGACCATTGCGTAGTGGATGCCCCGCTACTGGGAAGCATTTCTCTCATTGAGTCCAACCGTGAGGCGCCGCCAGCATCACGGCATTTCCTGTTGTAAGTTTGGACGTCGTGTTTATATCGTTAGACACTTCGTGGAAACCAAAAGTTCGGCATTCCAATCGGGGGCAAGCACTCCGTGCCGATCGAGCCTTGGCAGAGAACTACAGCGACGCATTCTGCGGGGCAGTGCGTGCCATCATCATCCATGGAAATTTAGATGGGCACTCCGAGCAAATCAAAGATGCCATGCACTCCGCCTCAGGAGTCACCAGCGGGATTGCTAAACAAGCATACCGGCCATGGATTGCACAATATACATGAAAAGTATTCGTTGCCAGTGATGCCGCTCGACGTGCACGCCAACGCGACGAAGGAAAACGATTATCCAAGGCCACTCGGAATTCTGTGAAAAAGGATGAACGCATGTGGCTTGATGACCAATTACACGGCGGCCCTTAGCGAACAGTTCGACACCTTCGGAAAAAGGCCCCGCAAAGCCAGTTCAAATCAAATCTTCGAATGGGGAATTATTTGACAGCAAAGTGCGTGTAAGGGGCCACATGCGAACCCTACCCCTACCCACGCGATTTTTATAGGGGAAGTGGGGTTCACTTCGTTTCGGGGGCTCCCGAGCGATATGACCCCCCCCCCCCCGCCCCCCCCCCCCCCCCCCCCCCCCCCCCTCCCCCCCCCCCCCGAGAAATCATGGGGGGTGCGGGGGAGGGGGGGGGGGGGGGGGGGGGGGGGGTAGGGATATGGTTCTTACGTCCCCCTAGCGTGGCAACGTATTGGCATATCATTTTGAGCATGCGCAGTGGGCGCGCAAACCCTTCAGCCGAATCGCGCATGAAGAAACATTTCAAATCAATATGGACGTTTTAACACTGACCGCCATGCTCAAAAAGCTGTCGGTTAGGAAGGCTGCCGGAGTTGATGACATACCTCCTGAAGTATTGAAATACCTGCTGCGTTGCAAAAAAAAAAAAAAAAAAAAAAAAAAACGACGCCAGCCTCCCGGCGAACGACACGCCAGTCGCGCTGTTACCAGTTGGCTAGCTATAAAGTGGTGGCCTCAATCATACAAAAACGCCTGCAAAATGGAGGGGCAAAAACACGAACGCGAAAAAACACAATTCGGCTTCAGACCCGGCAGAAATACAACGCAAGCTGTTTCCAACGCGCGTCGAATGATCGACGCGGCTTGTGTTCTGCCCCAGCTGGTTTCCTGGCGTTTTTCCCAACCCTCCCTTGGTTGGGTACTCGTTTTGTATAGAGCACTCTGGTCGCCACGTCCTCCCTGCCTCCTACCTCCTCCTCGCGGCGCCCTCTGCGGGGCTGCGATATGCGCATCTGTCGCCTCCTGCGATCTTGCGCAACTGTCGGCGCTTTCGCGGGCTCCTGGAAGGCCCAGCGGAGCGGGGGCGACACGCGGATCGCGCCGAGACCTCGCGGCTCCCCGCGGGGAGGGCTGCGCGTGCGCAACTGTCGGCGTGTTCGCGGGCTCCTGGGAGGCCCAGCGGAGCGGGGGTGACGCGCGGATCGCGCCGAGACTTCGCGGCTCCCTGCGGGGGGAGTTGCCAATTGCGCAATTGTCGGCGCTTTCGCGAGCTCCTGGGAGGCCCAGCAGAGTGGGGGTGACACGCGGATCCCGCCGAGACCTCGCGGCCCCCTGCGAGGGGGGTGCCAGCTGCGCAACTGTCGGCGCGTTCGCGGGCTCCTGGGAGGCCCAGCGGAGCGGGGGTGACGCGCGGATCGCGCAGAGACTTCGCGGCTCCTTGCGGGGAGGGCTGCGCTTGCGCAACTGTCGGCACTTTCGTGAGCTCCTGGGAGGCCCAGCGGAGTGGGGGCGACACGCGGATCGCGTCGGGGCCTCGCGGCTCCCTGCGGGGGGGGGCTGCCAACTGCGCAATTGTCGGCACTTTCGTGGGTTCCTGGGGGGCCCAGCGGAGCGGGGGTGACGCGCGGATCGCGTTGGGACTTCACGGCTCCCTCTGCGGGAGCTGCCAATTGCGCAACTGTCGGCGCTTTCGTGGGCCCCTGGGAGGCCCAGCGGACTGGGGGTGACACGCGGGTCGCGCCGAGACCTCGCGGTTGCCTGCGCGGGGGGGGGGGGGGGGGGGGGGGGGGGGGGAAGGGGGGGGCTGCCAATTGCGCAATTCTGAGATGCATTCTGGGCTTGTTAAGGTTTATGAGGTTTAGCTAAAGCTTAACGCACTTATACAGTTTACCATGCGTTTACCAACGACGGACTTATAACTTTTATAAACGCTTAGCCGTCGCGATATGCAAGCTATGAAACTACCATTTTCTTTTGCAAAACATACGCTGCACCACGCCGCGCAGGATGCATCGCAGGTTGCGCCAAATAGGATGCACCACATACGTTGCACCGCATAGGTTTCCCCACATAGGTTTCCCCACACAGGTTGCGCCGCATAGGTTTCCCCACGCAGGTTGCGCCACATAGTTTGCATCACAGCATGTAGCGCAACATGGGTTGCGCCACTTGACATGAGCTGAACTTCAGTTTTCGACGCCTTCGGCGCGGCGCCGCCGCCCACGCCGCCTTCGGCCTCGGTTTCGGCATGCCGCTTTGATCGTTTTAAACGTGAGGAGGGAAGGGGGAGGAGGGGGGGGCGAGGAAACAGCAGGCGGAGGAGCAGGAGGAGGGGCGGGAGGAGGGGAAGGATCAGCAAGAGCAGGACAAGCACGAGGAAAAGCAGGGGGAGGAGGAGGAGAAGCGGAACAGCTGGAGACCTATAGCCTCCTCGTTTCTCATCCTCCTCTTGTTCGTTGCCTTCAGCCGCAATGGCTTGAACGTGCGATGATGGGCTGTGCGGCGGTGCGCGCAGCGCATGCGAATGGTTTCTCCTATGGGCGCGACGCGCCAGCAAATCCTATCATGAAAACTCGAATGGCAGGATGGTGCCGACGGTGCCGTCGGCGTAAACGCAGTGCTCTACTGCAGCCAAGATGGCTTTAGTCTCCCAACATTGCAATGGAGACTCTGACAGTCTCCACACCGCCTTTGCAGTGCCACGGATGCGTTGGGAAAACTCCATCACCTCCATCATAGAAACAGCTTCTTCACTGACCTCGAAACGCAACTTCACGCGGGCGGCCAGTATGCCATCGGGGCCATTTAGAAGCACAGCGTCACCTTGAGCGCATAAGCCGGGCTGGCTGAAGCGAGAATCTTTGCCCACGTTGACTGGGATATCATCGCCTTCCAATCCCAATGCGTCCATTATCAGCTGTCTGCTTTTCTTGGGGGCCTTGCGTCCCTGCACCAAGCCAACGTCGCAATCAAAACTATGGCTTGCTATTGCAGAAAGGTGGTGGGCAAAGCGCTCGCTCAGCAACGACTTGCTGGCTGATCCAGAGATGTTCGCCAATTCGGTGGCGCATCGCTTCGGCATTCTATGCTTCTTCTCAAGGACAGCACAATTTAAGCGCCGCCCGTTTTTCTCAAGTATCTCAGGGAGGTGGAGAAGCCAGTGGCATTTGGGCGTCAAGCACTCATACCCGAAAGCAGCAGTAAACGACTCTAAAAACTTATGAACGCAACCTAAAAGCCTCGCTGGGCTCACGTCGATCCGACTGGTTGCAACTACAAGCTCCGACAACCGAACGCAAGAAATCATAGCGTCGCAAGCCGCATTGGCTGCCCCCATGGGTCGCAGGACCGCCTGACAGAACAGCGCCAGCACGCCAAGGATAGACAATAAATCAGATGCCTGGCATTTTACGTGTTGCGCCTTTCTATGTTTGTCTTTCCGACCCGCATTAAAAATGCAATCTAAATGCGTAGCATGAAATCGCACAGGGAGCACCCAATGTGCTAAGAACTCCGAGAATGACTCCCACACGCCGTTGAGCCCAGCAGATATGAAGGCTTCGAACGTAAGGCAAGTCACCAGATTCACGACACCGTCGACGAAGAGCGCGTGCATATAGTCATGCATAAACACCTTTGTCGGGTTGACCAGCCTGTCCAAGGCTCTATCGAGCAGCAAGCCCCGCTTAGCAAACGTCAAACCCAACGCTTGCTGCAACGCCACAGACTCATCATTTGACAAAGTCCGCGACATGCGTTCCAGATACCTGGCATTCGCGCGAAGCTCATGGTCCGTGGACGCCACGAGCTCATCGAGATGTATTTGGTTACAGCGCAACATGGCTGAACCGTCCTCTTCAACTACCTTTGAATCAGGTGTGCATATATTCTTGCAAAGCACACAAAACTTGGACGCGCTGTCGCCCCTTGCTTGCCAGACAGTTTTATGAGCGCCGCCGTCTTGCAACACCACGCCCACTTTCGCAAACAGCCTGAAGCTATCCCCGTCTAGATCAAGGGCCATGCCACCGTCTTGGAAATGAAAGCCATCAGGCTTGAAAAAGCATGTGGTAGCCTCAGCGAATGCTTGGCCTAACCCAGCAGAGAGAGAAGAACCTGCTTTGGTGAACTCAGTCATCAGCACAAGCCAGCTCTCTTCGTGACGGAGCGCGCTCACGCCAAATTCCAAGAAGCTCCAATATATCGATTGGAATGTTCTTTGGTTCGCTGGTGACAAGGGGTCCCCTGGGGTAACTTCATCGGAATACAAAACCAAGTTCCATGGCTGTTCTGGCGTCGGCGGGTGAAGCATCAGCTGGCGCCTCAAGAATTTCCGAAAGGTTGCGCTCTCTTCGACAGCTGCCGCTAAGGATGCGAACGGGCAGGCGATTGGTATGCTAGCTGGCTCTTCCTCTGCATTAATACACGTGAAGGATTGCAAAATAGGGCCGTATTGGCCGACAGCTGTGGTAACAGCATCTCTCGCGGCCCGCATAGAGTTTCGATCTATGACCTCTGGGACCCCATTGTGTCTCACGTCCTCCAGAATTGCAGCCAACGCAGAAGCTGTGCAGCGAGGCTTGGTACGACGGAACTCATTCAGCCTGCGCAGCTTAGCAGCCCGCGTCGGCTCCATCCGAAACGGCCCCAGACGCTGAACGGCCCGACTGCATGCTGAGCGAAACGGGCTACGGACGGAACGCAAGCACTTGCTTCACAACAAGGGCGCCCAACTGACAACGCGACGAGCAGACATGCTTTTCTCGGGATTGGCCTCACGACTCATAACGCGCTCTCGAGAACCAAGTGCGTTAACTAACGCAGCACGGAGTGCTTGTACGTTCGGCGAAAAGCCTGGTTATATGGTAGGGGCACCATGTGCGTCTCATGGCTTAGCCTGAGCGTCGTCGATCGCCTTCACTGCTGCAGCCCACGCCTCAGATGTCGGCTTAGGGCACCCCCAAGCTTTGGAGCTCTCGGGGTAGTTGTCCGACCAGCCCATGCGAAGCTTTAGGCGCATGGTGTGAGATATTCCGCCCCGCCCGCCCATGGCCATCAGTACCAAGAGACGGCCCGATCCCAAGACGAACGAAGCGAAGGTGTGGAACACGCAAGCAGCGGTGAAGGGCAGGGGGGGAGGGCGGACTGATTGGACTGATTGGACACAGCAGCCTTCGAGGGGGGGCTGATTGGATTGATTGGGCCGATTGGGCCTGCGATTGGGCATGGTGGGAAGGGGGGGGGGGGCTGATTGGGCGCATCGGCGTCCGAGGACTTCTATCGCGCGGAGGGGGGGCTGGTGTTTTAGAGGAGGGCGTGGGGGGGGGAGGCCGGAGGGTGGCGGTTGAGCGGGTGACCCAAGAGGTTTACGTCGCGGCCATCGGGCCACGTGATCTCAAAACAAACCTGCCAAAACCACCCCGAAAGCTCACGCGGGCGAGCTAAAACACACATCCCCCCCCCTTTCCCAGCATGACCAACAGCGGCGTAGCGACGTGGCTGGGCGTACCCAAGACACCGACCGCATCGCCGCAGCTGAATCAAGCTTTTCAGGAGGGGGAGGGGCATCGGGGCGCCACTCGCAATCAATCCAGACGCAGCGGTGCGTTGGCTGGCGGTGATTCGCTAAGCGTCATGCATCGCCGCGCTTCCTGAGGGCACGGAAGCGCCTGGCCTTGAGGCTCGTGTAGATGATCCCCTGCTTGTAGGCCACTGGCGGGGGGTTCGAACCATCCCTTGGCAACGACGGCATAGCGCCCATGATTTTAGACTTCGGGATCGGCTTCAAGTCGGCATCCTCGGGCTTACCCTTGCCCTTTGCAGCCTCGGCAAGCTCGACCCTCGCAGCCTTCATCGGCTTGGCGGCAGCAGCGGCTGCTGCTGGGCGCTTCCGTGGTGGAGCCTCGGCCTTGGCCTCAGGTGCAGCGTCTTCCTCTGCGGCTTTAGCGGCACCCTTCTTAGCTAATGCTTTCGCCTTCGCTTCGTCCTTCGCCTTGACCTTGCGCTTCTCGAGGGCGAGGATCGCAGCGCGGGCGTGGGGGTCCAAGTCCTCTTCACGCGGCCCGTCGTCATCATCGGCGGCGCCGCGCTTCGCATCATCATCGGAGTCGTGCTCACCCTTTACAGCGTCATGCTCCTCACGCTTCGCTTCTGGCTCATGCTTGACAGATGGCCCATGCTTGGCGGCTGGTTGCACCTTCAGCGCCCCATCAGCAGCGCGGTGGATAGCCAAGCTGCTTCGCTGCTCGGATTTCACGTCAGGAGCCGAAGGGCTCTGCACAGCCGCATGGCTTTTCCCTTTGCGGTACTCGAGCAATTTCTGCTGGCATTCGTAAAACAATCCCATCTCGATCGGGTCGCTCGGCGATGCAACGAGCGCACCTGCTGGCGATGCGTCGCGTGCGTCGGCTGCGGGCGCTGCGGCGTCACGGCCGCGAGCGCAGCCAAGCTTGTCCTTTGCTTCTTGAAACTTTAGCTTAGCATCTGAATCAACATATGCTTTCAGTAAGCCTCTGTTGGAACGTAGCGAGATCTTGTCCGCGATTGCGTTTATGCCCTTAAGCTCGATCTTGGTCGGCTGGTCATCCCCAGGGTAGGCGGCATTGAAGATGTCGGGCGGGAGCTCGGATGGCGAAGCTGGGTATTCCATGATGCGACCAACGCCGAAGTCCTTTTTCTCTGTCTTGAACGACACCTTCAAATCCCCTAAGATGCCGTGCACCTTCCTCGGCTCGGGTGGGGCGTCGTAATGCGTCACAAGCAACGTTGCTAAGGCCCACTTGTACGTCTGCTCACTAGGCGCAGTGCAACCAACCGCCATGCCGCGTTCGACCAAGGTCGTCATCTTGCGATTCAGCGAAAGCTTGGGGCCACTGATTACAACCCAGTCAGACGACGTCAAGTACGACCACCACCCTCTAAGCAACTGCTTGTTCGCGGAGCCTTCGGGCTTGACGGGGCCGCTGCCCTTAGCGACCTTGCTGTCGACGATTGACATTATCCGCTTGGTCTGATCTTCGCCGTATGGCTCACCCCTCAAAGCGTCGACAATATGCGTGGCTTCGGCTGGCCCGAAGCATTTCATGTTGTTCAGCATGCCGACCAGAGTGTCGGCAAAGCTCTTCTGGGGCGTAGGGTCGGAGCTGCTGTTGATTTCGCTACGAGCCGTGAAAAAGGCTTTCACGCTAGCGAGCTGCAACTGCAGCTTGCCATTCGGCAGGCGTGCACGTAAGCCAACAGGCTTGTGGGGGGGCAGTCGTCAAGCTCGTGAGCCAAACGACTATGGAAAAAGCGATGGGCTGGAATACACCATGGGCAATCGCACAATCATGCTCGAAGTCTGCAGAGTCCTGTTTTGACGCGCACGGCATGCAGCATGTGCGACGCGATATGGAGGGGGCGAGGCGGGGGGGCGCCCCATGGGATGAGCGAGAGAGGCCACGGAGCCAGGAGAAGAAGGTGGGAAAAGGGGGTGGGGAGAACGACGACATATACGAAATGAAACGGCACAATATATGGCTCCTCCTCCCCATCCCTCCCCCCTCCCACATCCCCCTCCGTCTCATCCTCCGCCTCATCCTCGTCCTCCAGCTCCTGGAAAGTGCAATATTATGCCTTGCCCTCATCCTCCACAGCATCGTAGTCCTCCTCCTTATCCTCATCATCTTCCTCCTCCTCCTGGCTAGTGGTTGCGCAGGATGCGTCATGTGATTTCTGAGCCTCTCAGAAATCACATGCGCCAATGGTTCCACATCCTTCTCCTCTTCTTACCTCCCTCCCTACCCCCTTCTCCTCGCATCCCTCCCTCCTCCTCCCCCGCCTCCTCCTCCTCCTCCTTCTACGACCAGTACTACTGCTTCTGCTACTGCTACTGCCGACTACTACTACTACTACTGCTACCACTGCTGCTTCTACTACTGCAAGCAAGCACTACTACTACTACTACCACTACTACCACTACTACCACTACTACAACTACGACTACGACTACGACTACGAGTACTATTACTACGACTACGACTACGACTACGACTACTACTACTACTACTACTACTACTACTACTACTACCACTACGACTACGACTACGACTACGACTACTACTACTACGACTACGGATACAACTACTACTATTACTACAACTGGTACAGCCCTGGTGATCACCAGGCAACCTCGCGTCGAGGTGGGCGCCGTGACAACCCGACGCAGGACGCCCGTCAGGAGGGGGATGAGGAGGCATAGAGGAATAAGAGGAGACAGAGGGGAAGTGAGAGGAGGGGAGGGGGGGGGGGGGGGAGGGGGGGAGGGAGGAGGAGGAAGAGGGGGCAGTAGGAGGAGCAAAGAGCAGCGTGAGGATGAGAAGGAGCGAGGAGGGGGAAGAGGAAGGGGGGGGGGGGGGGCGGCAGGGGCAGGGAGAGCAGGATAATAACATGAGAGTTGGGCGGACGAGGGGGAGGAGGATAAGGATGATGATAAGGGGGGTGACGAGGATGCGGAGAAGGAGACGGATCATGAGGAGCAGGAGAAGGATGAGGAAGATGAGCGGGGAAGGGGGCGGGGGGGGGGGGGGGGCGCGCGGCGCCCATGAAGAGGCGTCGGATGCTTATTATTAGTATATTTGGGTTGGGGTAGGGGGGGGGGGGGTGGGGGGGGTGCATGGATCGGGGGCCATATCGGGGCCCCCGCGGCGTACGAGGCGTCTGCCCCGCAAGGCAAAACGACCGACCCCCGAGGGAAGATCACCCCACCCCCAACCAGTCCATTTACCATGGTCCACAACAAAAATATCGCAGGGTCAGCGCCCCGCCCGCGCCCTTACCGCCCGCCCCCCCCCCACTCCCCCCGCCCCACCCCCCCCCCCCCCTCCCACCCCCCCGACGTCGCTTTTTGTCCCAAAGGTCCACCCCGAAAGGTGAGGAGCCCTTCCCGGCCAAGGACGCGGCAAACCGCGGACGCGTAACATTAACGAATTCACGACCACGGGCCGTGAATTCGCGAATGGTCTCCGCCGCGATGATGAAGTGCGACGGATGGGCGCAGTCGGTCGGACGGAGGGGGAGGAGAGGAGGAGGGAGGACGGGGCGGGGGGGGGGGGGGGGGATGGGGGGGGGGGGGGGAGGAGGAGGGGGAGGAGGAGGAGG